AAAAATAGAGAGAGCAGCCGCATATGGAGAACGACCTCAAAAATTTCACCTGTAATGAAGACTTAAAATTTTACAATAAAATCCTTATCTCTGGTTCGTTTACACACAAACATACATTTACATACATACATACATACATACATACATACATACACACACACACACACACACACACACACACACACATATATATATATATATATATATATATATATATATATATATATATATTCTATTGGTTAGCGATCTCTCTTTTATACAAGTTTCGTTAAAAATGAATGACAAGGGAAAGAAAAAAGGCAATAACTTGTCAGTCAGTTTTAATAATATATATATATATATATATATATATATATATATATATATATATATATATATATATAAGACCTAACTTGTAAGAACTTATATATAAGAACTTAACTTGACTTGAAAATAACTTAATTATAATTAAATTAACTTAAAATTATTTATCTTTACGTATATTGCTCCTTATAATTTTATGTTGAGCTCTCTCAGGGATATTCCAATTTGGAAAATCTTATTTATCTATCCTTTCCGCTTACGGTTTATATATATATATATATATATATATATATATATATATGTGTGTGTATATATATTATCCCTTTATTTCCCTCACTTTTTTCTTTTGCCCCTTTTTCCTCTTTTTTTTTTCCATATCATTTCCGTTGAGTTGAACGATTAAATACGGCAATGCCTGATCCTTACCCCCCTCCTTCCTCAATATTAAGTATTGTAATAAAAATAAAAATGAATTTTAAAACTCTTCCTTCCCTCTCTAAACTCGACCATATCTCTCACACTATTCCTCACCACCCTCTATGTCAACTTATATAAGCATAATACTGCCCGTCAAAAGTGTAAATTTTAAACTCATTTTTTGAAAGTGAAGACTGAAGATCCAGAGAAAAATAAAACTCTCTGGTGAAATAAGTTATAACAGATGGAGCCTTAAATTGGTTTGTCTTTCTTCATCAAAAATATTTTTACAGATTTTACAAACAAAAACAAAGACAAAAGTCCATATAAACATATGTCTGTAAAGTCTTCGTTTTTGAGTTATTAAGTTTAAAGTTTACGGTAGACGCTGTTAAATGTACAAGCTAAATTACAATCCAAAAATACTTTTGCAAACTTTTTGGCGACTTTCCTAAACAAGGGAAAATGTCCAACACAGTAACTCATCACAAATTTTCACGTTGATGGAACGTCTCTGCATTATTGTTTGCTATAAAAAAAACAATCCATTTAGGTGGCGCTCTACCTGGTAGATTATCAGCCAGTGCATCGAGAAAAATATGACTAAAATGGAACACTATCAAACATGAACCACCCTGTTAGCAGGGGTACATCCTCTAGCAGGTCTGGAAGTGCGTTCAAAATAAAGTCCCTGTAGACAGATCCTGTAAGAACTGCTGGAAGAACATATGGACCTACCAAACAGTCACTTAACATTCCAGCCCACACAATAATCGTAAACTGATGCTGGTGTCTAGCCTGTATTGTATCATGCGGATTCCGATCCGCCCACAAATGTTGGTTGTGTAAATTAGTTATTCTATCTCTTCCAAAATGTTGCCTTATCCCTAAACAAGACTGAAGAAACAAAAACAAATCGGCAGTTTGTGCAATAAACTATCGGCAAAAGTACTCTCGTTGTGAATGATCAAAGGGCGATGATCAGTCTAGCTATAAATGTACACGAATGACAAATGTAACCTAGCCTAAATAGCAACACAGCGCCATATACCGTAAATTTTCTTAAACTCAAAAACTAAGTATTTCAGGACATATGTTTATATGAACTTTTGACCTTGTTTTGGTGAGAGGAACCCACGCCCAAATGTTGGTAAAAGTATTTTTTATACACCCTGTATATATCTCTACCTTCTCATGCGTAACCTTTGTCGTGAGTTTTTATGTGTTCTTGTACACTCTCTCTGAAATTGTTATGCATATATATATATATATATATATATATATATATATATATATATATATATATATATATATATATACGTGTCAAAGACACGTTAGTTGGATCCAGTGACATGACCCAGAGAGTGTGAGTTCAATACATCGTTGAGGCGGTGGAGAACTTTGAGAGGGATAACTGACATCCATTAGACATGGCACGTGGAACTAGAACAGTCTACCCCAGTGAGCGAAATAAAGGGTTCAGTTCGACATTTCAATCACCTTCTTTACGACCTAGAGGATTCATTCGCCATTTAATCATAGATATATGGTTATATATATATATATATATATATATATATATATATATATATATATATATATATAGTATCCAAAAGGTTTCGCCCTATTTTTATTTATTTTTATTTTATTGTATTATAATTGCAGTTTTTATTTTATTGTAGTTTGGTCTTCGAGGTTTCAAGAACGTGTTTTCAGACTGAATCAGAATCAAGGAATTGGTTCTCTCCGGCATTTATCTCAGTGTGTGTGTGTGGGGGGGGTGATTCTCAGAAAGTATTGTTTCGTTGTATCAAACCCAACCGTCAGTCAGAGTCTCTACCACCGAGCTATCTTCACTCGACAGAAAGAGTCAGCTAAATCTAGCGTATTGATTTTTCAAATGTAAACAAACACCAAACAACTGAAGTGCTCCATTCATTTTACTGAGGAGCTTCGCATTAACGCAGGTGCCTGTTGGTTTTACAATTAGCACGTCATTCAATAGTGCTCAATTGAAGATATATTTTCCAGAGTTGAATCATGTCATTTGCAGAGAGTACTGTTTTGTTGTATCACATCTCTTCATTGCGACTATATTGTTATGGAGTGGTTTCACAGTGGAGTCTTGTATTTGTACTAAGTCGATCCTAAAATAGGTTCGACGTACAAAACGTTAGGAATTTGATATAATAGGTAATGACGCAGAGAAATCTAGTGGTGGTCGCTGATACTTTAGTATCCGACTAACGGTCGTCCGGCATCGACTGACTGACCGAACCACTGAGCTACCGACTCGTTACTCTTACTACTACTACTACTTATTATAGGTGGGAGAGTCTATTAACTATAGAATAGGTGTGTTCCACTATAACATATATATATATATATATATATATATAAAGAATTGATAGGTTTATTTTAATCTGGCATTTTTATTGCTTCAAATGAAGCGTTTATTTCAAATACGCAGTGTCAACTATAATGACGTTTGAAGCAATAAATACATCTGTGTCGGGTTGGGAGAGGAGAGAGTGAGAGAGATAGAGAATGGTAAGAATGTCCGTTTCCTTATAAGGAAACATTCGACCTAAAAGTCGAAAGAAAATTTTAAAATTTTTCTCTTAGAACAGTTTTTCAACTATAAAGTCTTCGGTCCAATAACTGTTACCGATCTGATATTGATGGGAGTTTCCTTGCTAACCTTTTGTTTAATGTAGTGTGGAAAATCAAAATCTTGATTATCTCATTATTTTTCCTTGTACTTACATGTGTCATCCGTTTTAATTGTTACTGCTGCCGTAAGTCTTCAATAGGTTTCTGTTCTTTGGTTGTGGTTCTAGATTCTATAGCCCCAGTCTGTGAGAGCATTAGGGCCTACTTTAAGATCTAGAGGATTCATTCGCTATTTAATCCTAGATATATCGTTTTAGTGATACAAGTATTAGAAATTAACCCGTAGTTGGGGAAGAAGAGGTTGGTTCATACCTTTCCCAAGTGAATATAAAGAAATCAACTGGAATTGGAACTCGGCTCTCCGATTAACAACTCCGAGCTATTATCCACTGCACCACCCGCACATCTAAGTTTACACCCCTCCCGTTATTCCAAAGTGATCACCCATCTAGCCTCGACGCATAATTTCGGTGATCGTACCAGTGTTTCAATTTGATGTGGTCGTAAGCTAAATAGATCGATACGAAGAGGCTGAGATAGATAGATAGATAGATAGATAGATAGATAGATAGATAGATAGATAGATAATAAAAATGGGATAGATAGATAGATAGATAGATACGAAGATACTGAGATAGATAGATAGATAGATAGATAGATAGATAGATAGACAGATAGATAGATAGATAATGAAGAGACTGAAATAGATAGATAGATAGATAGATAGATAGATAGATAGATAGATAGATAGATAATGAAGAGACTGAGATAGATAGATAGATAGATAGATAGATAGATAGATAGATAGATAGATATAAAAAGGGATAGATAGATAGATACGAAGAGACCGAAATAGATAGATAGATACATAGGCACGAAGATAGATAGATAGATAGATAGATAGATAGATAGATAGATAGATAGATAGATAGATAGATGAAGAGACTGAGATAGATAGATAGATAGATAGATACGAAGAGACCGAGATATAAACATAGATAGGCACGAAGATAGATAGATAGATAGATAGATAGATAGATAGATAGGCTGTCACGCAGAAATATTGGACATAGTTTAAGAAAGCAATTTCCATTGTAGCTACGACCCTAAATACACCAAATATGTAAGCTAATATTTATCTAAGTAAAAAATAAATAAATGTTTGTCAATTTCAAAATTCACTGACAAATACCATAGAAAATAAGGCGCAAAGGTTTTGGACAGAATCCACAAATATAAATCAAGCAGCAGTAAAAGAAAATCGCATTTTCGGTTCGACCCCTACTCAAATGATTAATCTACAAACTTCTTCACTCAAAAAGACAAAAACAACACGCGCCATGATCGACAACCATTGAACCTCTGGCTTGGCACGTGTGAATGTTCGCAGGAGACTTCTCTCAAGAGTTCATTTGTGAGGCGATAATGGATCATCGTTAGCGCCAACGAGCTGGAGATTCCCATCAGAACAATTAGACCCATTAGGACATGGAAAGGGCATTTTTTTTTCTTTTTTACAGTGTGTTTTATCCTTTACAAGACCCGTGGGCCACTCGAGGTAGAGGGTTACGTTAAGAGACCATTTGTGTGTATAGGAGTGGGATGTGATGATCTTCTCGGTAATACAGTTTTTGAATTCAGACTTGTCCTTCTTGAGAACCCAGTCCAGAGAGATCCATTACTTGGGAATGGAAAGATTGATCTATAATTTCCGAAGGTAATTTCAGTTAAAATTAATAGAACGATTACAGCTGGCCGATTTTTCCTTCCGTGCTTCTAATCATTGCACCAATTGCACATGTAAATGCATAAAAAAATTGTGCAATGACTTTATTACATTATGACTTGATGAAAATAGAATGATGCTTTTTTGCTTTATGGGTAATGCACAGTTAAAAAAAAAAATCAGATTGACGCAGTCGACTGACCTAAA